TAATTGCTTTCCACTTGAAATATGCTCTCATTCAAATTGAGGGAATGAAGTTAACTGAAGGTGCAGCTGGGGGCGGGGGGACCACATCTTATCTGTGCAATGACTTGTTCTTTACAGGTGGTTGGTTCAGAAATTAGCAGCTATTTTTTTCTGCAGTAATAAATTCTAATATTTGAAGAAAGCAAGAACAGATGCATTGCCAGTTCATTGCCACTTGCCACAGCACAATGAAGATTTAATCTTTATGATGAGCAATTCACTCTTTACATAACCACTATACTAGAATTCCAGTATTAAGTCTCATCATCTCATATTAAAGCAGACTGATTTCCTACACTTTATTTAATAGAGAGTTTGGTTTTATTTTTCTTGATATTATATACAAGTTGCTCTAAGACATTTTTGCCTTACTTAAACTTTGTGTCACCTGTCAAATAAGTGCTAAAATACAGCAATAATGTTATAGTGATTTGAAATGCATTCTTAGGTGCAGAGATCTTGATCAAAGAAAGTAAAAGCTCCTTATCTTTTTAGGTCAATTCACTCATTTTTATTTTGCAGAAATAATTTCTGTTGGTTTAATGAGAAAGGTTTCATACTCTGACTTGAGGATCTTCTCCTGATAAAATGTCCTTGTAGATAGGTGAACACATCCATCTGTGGCTAGAGCAAAGTAATATTTTATCACTCCCCATAATACCTTCCAATGTGTGACACCTTACTCTAAAATGGGCCAGAAACATGCAAAGGGGAAACTTCCATAGATCAGTGGCATTCCAAACCCTGAATCTCAGTCAGCTGCCTTCTGAATTCCTAAAATCTTTGCAGTCTGACTTTCTATAATCTTTGTAGTCTGATTTTCTAAAAATCTTTGCAGGAGTACATTTTGTATATGACAATTTTTTTCTCTAAGTCAATTGAGCAAATATTTTCCACTCTAGTTAGGGCTTCATTCGGAGTATTGGTATTCCATTATCAGGCTTTTCAGACACAGCACGACAAAGGCTATGTGGATTTTCTCAGGTAAAAAATAAAAACTATATTGTTTAAAAATATACAAAGTACAGCATAAGAATCTTCTCAATGGAAAATGTGAGATGGAACAGTTTTTATTTTGTCACCTGGCTTTTCTAGAGCTTCCCTGAACTTCCCTGTGCTTGACTTCCTAGGAATAGTGTTACCAAAAGCAGCAGGTGCCCTGCAGCTCTTACCTTAGTCCCATCACCTTTTGTTTTGATGTGGAGCTCAGCCTTCTTGCATTTGCAGCATAACTCCGATTCCTAACCTTATACAGCAGTATTACTGATCTAGAGAGAACTACATTTTTTGCCTTAACAGGTCCTGGCTTAACATGCAGGGGCAAGTGCTTGGTAAAACTGTACAGAGAAAGAGGCTCCTCAAGGAGGTGGCTTAAATCACCTGAATAAAGCTCTACTTTGAAGGCACTAAAAAGACACAGGTAGAGAACTATGTGGTGGTAAAAGCAGAAACTCAAATAAATTTATTATTGAAATCTGGATAGAAAAAAAAAAGCATTCTTTTTTGTTCCTTTTCTTCTTATTTGCTTGCTCAAGGTTTCCTTCAGGACTGCCGTATTTGTGTAAATAATTACAAAACCAGTAGAGGGTGCTGAAGAATATCCAGCATAGTTTTAGTTTCTGTAAGAGCAATAAATTGTAACCCTGTTTTTACACTGCAAATAGCAGCTTCTCTTTAGCCTGCACATTGATTCTTACAAATTCAACTCATTGGATAAAAGCAATCAACCTATTTGCACGTCTGTGGTTTTGCTCAACTCCCAGTTTTCTCCTGCTCAACTTAAAAAGCCTTTCAGATATTCACACTAACCTGAGAGGGCCTGGACCACCTCCTGGTGCACCATAAGCACGTGAAACAGGCTGGAAAGAAGCACAAAATGAAAACTTTTTACATTTCTTCAAGGTCAGACTGTGTGATGAGTCATCATCTGGTACACTGTTCTCAGTCAAGGCACCGTTCAATCATCCTCTGGGCATTTAGGAGGAAGAAAGAAGCACAGATTTGTGTACTTTTACAAATGTGCTTTTGGTTCTTTTCAGCCCATATCAATCCATAGATATTAGAAGAATATGAGAGAATGAAATAATTTCTTGCTTTAATAAGTTCAAAGAGAACTAGAGGGACACATCCCATTTTCAGACTACTAGAATAAGCTATTTTTCAGTACAGTAAAAGCTTTATATATTGGGGGTTTTGTCTGAAATCACAGTTATTTTCAATGGAAAAATAAGTAATAGAAAGAATTATCATAATCTTATTAGCTAGAACCCCCAAAAATGCTGTGATATGTTGACTGTGCATAGAAAAATGGTGTTCATTTTAAAAAATAAATTTAGTCCCTTTTGATAACAGAAAATCTTTGTTCTCTGTGACTACTTCTGGTGTGGTCCCATAAATTAATAGAGGAATATGATGTCTCTGCAACTCTCCTCAGCTTGAAAAAATACAGAAAAAAAAATTGAGGCAAATCTGCTTTTACATGCAAGAGGAACAGACTTACCAAGGCGACTTTTAAGGTATGCAATGGTTTTTTTACATGCAAATTTAAAGTGTCATTCTGACTGTGCATCCTGGAATAAAGAAAGGGCTCAAAACTGTCTTTTTCAACTGATCAGATCTTTGATGAAAACCTTTGAAAAATAAGAACTTATTTGACTCCTTCTTAAAGTGCTCATTAGCCTGGTTTAGAAATACCAGCAACTAATGACGTCTGGGGAAAATATGTGCCTGTAACTCTACAAAAACATCAGCTTTTGCTGCTCAGTGACATTTTCTGCTATGAATTTTTGTTATTACTGAGTGGCATGCAATATTCAGAAGTTCATTTGATTCCCATTTCAAAGGGCTCTTTTCAGACCCAGTTGCAGAATTCTCTTTGATTTGGCAGCTCAGTAACTGTTGAACTTTGACATTTGTACAGGCAGCATTTGTATGGAGGTAAAAATACCTTTTTTCCCCCTACAGAGAAGCATGAAAAAATTCCCAGTCTTAAATGTCTCTTGTATATCAAGATCAACTATGCAAAACATTAAACATCAAAATTTTAAAAACCTGTGGAAAATGAAACAGAAAAGGCATATGGTTGGAGTAGAACTAATCTCTTTTTCAAGTGTCCAGAAGAGGATCTTCTGAAGAAAATATCGCCAACGACTTGAATTAACTCTGGGGTTGTAATATTCAAAAATTAGCAAATCATCCAAATACTCAAGTCTTGGTGTGTTAACACATTGAAAAAACAACAAGACTCTCTGCTTTCGTAAGGGCAGTGTATCAGATGGAGGATGACTGATACAGGACTCAAAATGTGACCTTTCAGGTTTTACTCCCTTTGAATAATTTCCTCTTGTAATCAATATATACAAGATTATGTCACAAAGTCTATGGACTATCAACAGTACAAAGGACAGAGAAGAGAGAAATCGAAAATTACAAATATGCAGCTGCAAGAGGAACCCAAAAGAGGCAAAAAGGTGAGAAAATGGTATCTGAAAAAGATGAAGGTACGTAAATACTCTTTTTGCAATTCAAACCAATAATTATATTCAATAAAAATGTAAGCATTGGCATGACACTTCAGGATCTGTGTTGATTGTAATGACTGGAATGAAATCTATCACTTTGCTAAAGTTTACTCAGCATGTACCAATAACCAACTCATTGTACAGTTCATTTTTAAATGAAATCATAAGAGCTGCTGTGCTCGACAGTCAACATCACCTACTGCATCAATGGTAACATCCACTCATTTTTCTTTGATTCAGATTTGTGTAAATTTGAACTGCTCCATGCATTGTTTTTCTCTGAAATTCCTAAGTGTTAGTGGTGAGGAATTTTTTAAATTGTGAATTTTCTGTCATTTTTATACCACATGAACAAATCATAGTACTGAGTCTGCTGCTACTTTCTGTGGCTATTGGCAGTACCAGCAAATCAGTGGCCTTATAATTTTTTTATACCTTGTCCCTTTGTACATAACATTGTTCTCATTTTCTTGAGGCAGAAGTTGTGAATGAGTGACAAAGCCAACAAGTGTATAGTACTGGACATATCTTGTGAGTTTTCAGCAACATATTCATTTTCTCTCATATTTGAAAGTAATTTCATATTTGGGGATTGTAGCTATTAGATTTCAACACTTCTTAATAGAAAAAAATAAAGAGGATACTTATCTATTGTGTACCTTTTACTTATTATATATACCTAGCTATTGTGTACCTTTCATAAAGTGGAGATACATTTAGCAAATAATAGTCCTATGTAAACTATTTTTCAGTTTTCATCTTAAAAAGAACAATAGAAGACATAAAATAATTTTGCTCTGAAATCGAGAATGAAGAAATGTGTGGGGAGACCTGACCTTTCACATTCTTTTTTCACCAGCCGCTAAGTGATTTAATCTATATAATCTCTTTTGTCATCAAACAGAGACTTCACATTTTTTTTCCTGGAAGATATCATGGTCAGAAGTATGAGAGGATGAGGACAGTAAACTTATGGGTGGTCAGACCAAATGATCTTAATAGACTCTTGCCACTTAACAACTAATGACACCTAATTTAAATGATTTTTTTTTTAATTAGCACATTAGCATTTGAATCAGGATCCACCCTTTACCTTCATCTTTTGAGCAACTAAATTTAAGGGACTGACATTTTGGTTAAGTTTTCTGCATGTGATGTATTGTTTTTCAAACAAACAGAAAACAAAGTTGCTTCCCCAAAATTTTCTAAGTATGTGCAACAACTCAACAAAAAACTTTATTCTCTAGCAGATGTAAGATATAATCTAAGGTATCTGAGGTATGAAAAATTATGCAAAGTAAGAAAAAGTAATTATGGTTCCCAATTTGCTAATCAAAAGTAAAATGCTCAGAGTGCATATATTTAACCATGCAGCTGTCTGTAAAGCACCTGCCTCAGGTACAGCAATTCACCAACTTTGAATCTTCAAAATCCAGAAAAACAAAACTTTAAAAACAAATCATTATATCATTCTAAAAATACTATATTTTTAAGAAGTATTTTGGCACCAGTCTTCTTTCACTGTGTTTTTTGAGCATTTATTTGAAGCAGGGCAAGACTTTTACTTTATCATTCATTTGAGAAGCTGGATATTTAAAAAATCATGAAGCAATGATGCATCTGTCTGAACTCTGGATACTGACATGTAAAGCTCCACATCTTAGGTAGCTATTCTGCATTTTGCTAGAAGTTCTTTATGCAGTCAACAGAAAGAAACCGGCATTGTGAGTGTGCCAGACACTCAAACTACCCTCAACTCACAAAGCACATATTTTCTGCTCAGTGCTGTCAAAGGGAAAATAATGGCAACTCAAATGTAAGTATTTTAAAATAAATTAGATGAATCTCAGTTCATGCACCCACAATAGTGTTATCACTCACCTTTCAGTACTGTAAGAACTGTAAAACCTAGAGAAGGAGTCTAAGTTTCTTACTCTCTACATGGTTTTATTCTGCTCGGTTCTGTACCATTCCCATAAGCACAATATGCTTTTTTTTTACAGTAAGTAGGAATATTTTTCTCCCATCATCTTTCTTCACATCAGTCCACTGCATTTTTTTTTGAGGTCTGTTAAAAACAGAAATTCAAGACAGAGTCACTCTGTCTCAAGTTAAAAGTGAAAAAGAAATTCATAGAAACAACTAGTAGAAGATACACAATATTTGACAAACAGAAGGAATTAGACATTCATGCATTGTTGCAGAGCTGTAATGTAATGGGATTATTATGGAGCCACAGGAGAACTGTTCACAGGAATGGAGCACTGCAATGGATGGGCACAGACTTTCCAGGAAAGGCAAAAGAGGGGGATAATGTGCTCTATGCAGATGACTCTCCACCATAGTCATCTATAGTCAAGAGGGAAAAAGTTGGCTGAAAGGATAGGCTGAGGGTGTAAGGACGTCCAAAAAGAATGGACATGCCGGTGGATTGCTCCTACGGGAAACTCAGTCAGGAAGAGAAAGGGAAAAAATAAGCTTCTTTAAGGCACAGTTACAGACCTTGGTTCTCATGGAGGAATTTAACACCTCAGCATCATCTGGAAAGGCAATGAAGCATAATACCAATAATCCAAATTTCTAGGGTGTGTTGGGGACAATTTTTTGATGCAGCTACTAGAGAGGCTGCTCTGCAGGATCTGCTACTCATAAATAAGCAAGCAGTCAATGATAGTCAATGTCAGGCTTGCCTGTAATGAGATAGTAAAGTTTAAAAACATAAAAGATGAGTAGCAAAATAAAGAGTCTGTTTTTGCAGATGTCAGACTTTGGCTTGTTCAGTTGTCTGCTTCAGAGGGATGTATTGTAGGGCAAGTGGGCCAGCAATAAAGTTTAAAAGCACATGAGTAGTCCCTCTGATGTGCAAAAGAGTAAGCAGACATGGCTTGGCTAAATGAGAAACTCCTATCCAAGTTCAAATGTAAACAAAAACCAAAAAACAAAACAAAACCCCCCAACCAAAACAAACAAAAAAAACAACAAAACAAAAAAAGGTCTCCAGATGGTGGAAATGGGAACAGGCTCCTTGGGAGGACCACAGAAGCATCACCCAGGCATGACACAACAAATGGAACACAGCCAGTCAAATGGAAGCTCAAGTTAAAACTAGTGAGGGGCATGAAAGAGAGTAAGAGCTTCTATAAAGAAATCAGCACAAAAATTAAGATGATGGGTATCTGCTGCTGAATGAAGCAGGTATGGAAAAGGCTGGAAAAGTACCTCAGTCATTTCTAACAGGGTTTGTTCTCAGGTCTCCCAGGTCCCTGGTGATGGCAAAACCTGTGGAAGAGAAGTATTACCCATTGCAGAAAAGAATCAAGGACTCCTTAAGTAAACTTATCATACACAAGTCTGGAGATCCAGAGAGAATACATCTGAAAGTGCTGAGCTGCCATCAACTTTGAGACAATTGTGTAATCTCTGATAAATTGTGATGACTGTGGGCAGTTCACAATGGCCAGAAATAGACAAAGGCTACACTCTAAGTTAAGAAGGATTATCAAGTCTAGTTTCCCAGTCCTGGGAAGACTATCCATGAGCAAGAGAGGATTTCTGAATCCTCTTTCCTAAAGAACGTGATCATTTCTAAGAGCAACCAGAATTTCGGGCTTCATTCTCAACACAACCCTAGACTTGCAAGTTAACTAAACCTCTTCTCAGTTGTTCAGTTGCTTTTTCTGCATGAGTATCAAAATCCCCAGCACCCACTGGTGTTTTAAACTAACCTGACTAGCACTGATAATATGATCCAGCTCTTCAAGAGAGGATCTCAAAACACTCTCTACAGTGTCATTATCTGAAGGTATATGTCCTTCAGATACTTTTTGTCTATCACATTAAATAATGACCTTTATAGAGGAAGGAGCTCTGTAATTTGTGAACTTCAGTTGGTTTAGCACATCTCTTGCTGAAATGTCATATTTAAATTAGTATGCACACTGCAAGAGCAGCCTCAAATCATTTAAAAATTAATATACAAAATAATTTCAAAGCTGATAGGAGCCAATACCCTCGGTTTATTATTCTCTGCTCCAGCAGAATGTACGTTGGCATTATAAAAACAGACCATTTTGAATTTGGGTGGGTCATTTCAGATCCAGGAGCTTTCCTAGGCACCCAACATTTTTACACTGGCTAGTTATTCAAGATCTGTCACTTGACTTTGAAGCACTGCAGTCATCCACAAGTTTTTCCCCTTAGGCACTTGAGAAGGGTGGGTAGTCCTCGGAAATATCTGGTTCATGTCTGCTTTCACCATGAACAGGTTTAACATGTGTTTTGTCCTTTCTGACAAGACCTATGTTTATGTACCTGTGAGATGCAGTTCCACATCAGCTCCTCCTCTCCAAAAGAAAAGATTTTGCTTTTTCAGAACCAGCTGTTCATAGTCAGATGGTTTGAATCTTGATTGGTCCTGCCTAGAAAGAAACAGTACTGTAATCTCAATTTATTCCCTTCTTCCCAGGAGGACTGTACTATCCAAGACCTGCTATTACTTTTTCCTTCATGGTGAAGAAATTGCTAATGACACCACTTATGTGACACAAATGTCGCCTCTACATTTTTCTTCCATTCCAGGTCAGCAAAATTGCAACTCGAAAACAAAGATATAGCAACTTGAAAAGAATTTAGGGAGGCTGTTGTTTGGTTATTTTTCTCCCCCAAATGGAAATGCTGCATAAAATTCAAGTCCAGATAATCAGACAGTGCCCAGCTCAGTGAATGAGCTGAGAAAGGGCATTCATGAGTGCTATGCTGTATTTTTCTGGTGGGAGTCTGCTCAGACAGTGCTGTGAAATGAAATTGCATTTTACCCATTGCATTCAGTACTTACAATTGCTAGACACAACAAAGTAAATTAGAAAGAGTGGCAGCTGTCAATTGGTTCTGATTTATTTTCAATTATTTTAATTTTCATACATAATTAGTTTTATAATTCCCTTAATATGCATGAAAATTACATTTCTCTTTTCAACCATCCTTAAATAAAAGCTGAACCTTTTTTCTATTGAAAGCTACACTCCCTTATTTCTAGTGGATGAGAAGCAAATTTGGCTTTCATGACACACTCCTCCACTTTCCTTGGCAATAAATGTGCTTGTTTAGTCACACAACCAAGAACCTGTATTTCATTTTTATAACATAGGTAGACAACTGTCCTAAATTTCTTGCTTTCCTAGTATGACTTTACCTTGTGCATATGAATTATTAGTCTTTGCAAACATATTTCATCTCCTAGCATTCTCCTCCCAAGTTTGAATGCTATTTGATCATCCTCTTTAGTCTAGTGTCAACTGAAATTTGTTGAGAAAAGATTAGTCAGTCGTTAAGAACCAACTGCAGAATAAACTATGAGTTATTTTGTACTGGGCCTTGTATATGTGTTGTTTACAGGGTGAAAAAGTACCAGTATAGCAAAATACAGATTATAATTAAATACATATAAACATATGCAGCAAGTCCAGAGGAGGGCCACCAAATTGATTAGAGGGATGAAGCACCTCTCCTGTGAGGAAAGGCTGAGAGAACTGGGATTGTTCTGCCTGGAGAGAAGAAGGCTTCAGGGTAACCTAATTGTGGCCTTCCAGTACCTGAAGGGAGACCACAGGAAAGATGGAGAGGGACTATTTACATGTAGCAAAAGGAGAAGGGGAAATGGCTTCAAATTGAGAGAGAGTAGGTTTAGAAATTCTGAATAAATTCTTTACTGTGAGGGTGGTGAGACGCTAGAACAGGTTGCCCAGTGAAATTGTGGATGCTCCATCCCAGGAAGTTTTCAAGGCCAGGTTGGATGTAGTTCTGAGCAACTTGTTTTAGTGAAAGGTGTCCTTGTCCATGGTAGGTGGAATGGAATGAGATGATCTTTCAGGTCCCTTCCAACTGAAACCATTCTATTGTGAAATAACAATGTGAGTTTAAAATTTTATTTAAGCTAATGCCCTTTATTCATAATATTCTTTATGATACAGTGACAACAAAGCACAGGAACTGGTAGGATGGTCAGATACACTCGGCAGCTATGTGTGTATACTCATCACATCATTTATTTATTGCCAGAAAGGGGTTTGCCCCTTTCCACTCATCCCAGGTTTTCAGTGCTGAATAAAAAGTTGTCCAACTATACCCTGTAATTTGACTTCAGTTGATGATTCATTTCACTGTTTCTCAAGGGGGAGATGACCTCCTGCTGAGAAAACAGGCAGACTAAGCACATACATCACCATTGGTTCTGAGTACATGACATCTGCTTGTTAGGGATATGCACAATTTACTGGTCAGTGGTACTGGGGCCTGTTCCTTCATGCTCTGTATTTATTCACATTAAGAGGATCTCTTTGAGCCTTATCTAGGCTAAGCAGTCCCAGATCTCTCAGCCTTTCCCCATATGAAAGATTCTTCAGTCCCTTAATCTTGTTAACAGCCCCTTTATGGACTGTCCCCAGCACATCCCTCCCTTCCTTGCAGTGAAGAGCTCAGAAGTGAACACAGTACTTCAGGTGGGAACTACTATAAGCTTAAAGAACAAATCTTCATGTTCTTTAATGTTGAAAAGTTGGACATTTCTACCCAGTGAAGGATATCCTGCACCTCATATTGCAATACTTACTTCCAATATCACTGCAAAACCAGAATTTCGAGACTTAACGTTCTTATACAAAAAATAATTTCACAAAAAACATACTGATTGAGACTTAGAGAAATCAAAGGGAACACTGCCACTGACTTAGCTGGGAATGGGATACAGCTAACTGAGCAAATCAGAAGAGCAGAAAGAAAGGAGGAGAAGCAATCTGATTTATCACAACTTTATCATCAGTAGGTAGTTACAAGAAATCACACAGGTAAAAATTGGGAAGATCATTTCTAGTTCAGAGCTCGCCAGAAGGTTCTTCCCAACTATGCTGTCACTACCAGCTGTCCTCTCCACTGCTACAAACTATCTAGGAGCCTGTGGCCATATAATGAACCAAACGGATTCCACTGATTCAAGTATTGCCAGGTAGCAATAGTTGTGGTAGCCATAATGCTTATTTAAATAGTAACATTGAATCAGGCTGAGTCTTAACTAATTTTACATCTGATGATGGAAAAGAGATGCACCAGAGCATATTTGATTCCCCAAAGTCAAACAGTGAGGCTAAAGAGGCAAAGCACAGCAGGACTGAAGCTGCTGCTGTCAGAACTTGTTTACACTGTCTGATCACAGTGTTCAGTTCACAATGCAAATCCATATAAGTAAATTAGAGTAGCTTTAGTTCACCCAAGCACATCTGTCATACCGTCACATTTATGCTGCTCTTACGGTCCCTTTACGCAAGTCCGAAATTTTTGGATGATTCTGTAAGTAATTCCTTAAAATATGAGACGGCCATTTTATTTGCTGGGTAGTTTTAAACACAATTACAATTGGCACGATTAGGGATTACAATTGTCTAGAGTTAGCCAAAAGCTCAGCCATATCCACAGAGCAAAAAGCAGATCTAACAACTCCTTAACACCCTCCTCCCTTAGCTGTCTACATCACTATATCAAAATATGGCAGAACAAAAATTAAGACAAATTAAACACTCCACCATCCCCCTTTAATCCACTAATGTGTAAGCAATCCCTACCTTTAGATTGAGGAATTTTAGAATCCTTTTATACCTCTTTAAAAGCAATCTTTCTGCTTGTGTAACTTCATGCACTGAAGAGGATGGTATTGAAAACCTCGCTTCCCTTGTCATTTATTCCAATCACAGTAAGAATGGTGATGAAATTTCAAATTCACTTCAGTGTTGTGTGCTTGAATATTCCCAGGAGACCTGATGTCTGAGCAGTTTTAAACATCATTTTTCTACAGGTGTTTTTCTGGGGAAGGAGTCCTATGAATTTAAAACAACTGTGCCCCCCACAAGCCCCCAGCAGCCACTCAGGTGTGCAGCTTTAAAGCAGCAACAGAAACAGAAGGACATTAAGCAGGCAGCTATCGGCCATTTGATGGTCACTAAGGTTTTGTCCATCCTTTACTTAAAAAAATTACACATCTTTCTATGTGGGTTCCATAATTAGAAACTCTGAAGACCTTGTGTAAGTCATTGCTATTTCTGTAGTCCAGTTGTCGTAAAAATATACTTTCCTTTACATTCAATTAATACCTTTTGCACTATTCAACAATCCCAGAAAGTAACAGATTTCCATGTTGAAGAAACTGGTAAACTCACCAATCCAGAGGCTTGTAGCCTCAAGAGACCCATGTCCATGGTGAACTCCATTTTCATGCCCCATATTTAACACTTCACATGGTCCTGGAAAAACAGAAGCAAAAGAATGCATAGAGAGTATTCAGCTGCCTCAGTAGTTCTGGCAACAACAGAGAGACTACATTCTTGTTTTTAATCCCTGAGGCAAGTACACGGCTCCTATGAAACTATGAACACTGAATTCCTGGTTTTGTATCTCTGTGTTGTGCAAAACGTAGGACAAGATCACAGGTATCATGCTTCACACTCAGTGACAACTCTGTTTCATCAAAGCTCTGGAAGAAAATTAAAGAATAAAACACTTCTGGTAAGATTTGTGAGCAACAGGAAAGGGCTGGTTTGTTGGTAATGACCAGAAAAAAAATTGTTTCTTTTCATAGGGAAGCTATTTGAAATAAAGTCTGCCTAAGCACAGCTAAGTTATGCTATGACAGAAACAGAAAAAGAGGGAAAATATTTAAGACTGAGGACAGTCTTCCAGAAAACACCATCTCTGGAGGTCTGAATGAACATGTAATTCAATGAATTTTCAGTGAGATGCTGTAGTGAAAAGAAGAAGATGGGAGTGCTTAGATGCACGTGCAAGAATAGCAAGAAAAATAAGGTGATTTAATCTCACAGGCAGGGCATAATGAAGTTTATGTTCCCAAGAATCAAAACAGACACAACAACACAGAAACACCTCTGCAGAGAAAAAATGTGCTTCAGACAAGAGACTCCAGTTCAGGAGAGAACAGAAATGGATGGCTAGAAGTGACAATTAGGTGATTTAAAATTAAGAATTAATAATGTTGAGTATTTGATGGGGCAAATCAGCATGAAGTGGTGATCCTGCTGCTATGGATACTTTAAGGTTGATTCTGATACACTTTTATGAACTTCTCATAGCAAATTTCTCAGAACTCTCACAAGCAAAAAATAATTGTTCCATGCGCTTATGTCAGCATTCTTTTATAGTCAAGATATACAAAACAATACAATAACCTTTATCCAGGCTGTAGAACAAACAGATGGTCCTGGGCTGTCTGATTAAATCCTGATCTATCAAGCAGAGATAGTGGCTGGTATTCATGAAGCACTTTACACCTTGGCTGTTTTAAGCCTGGGAAAATGCATCACCAAGTTAGTCATTAATTGTACATTGTGTTGGCTACAGAGGAAAATATTAAAACAATACATTGTGGGTTTTCACCCAGAAGAATTACATGTGACAAGGAATCCCTATACTGTATATACCTCTCCTTATAAAAATGAATTTTAGCCTTGATTCCACTTGTTTATTCCAAGATTCAGTAATCATGCATTTTGATTGCTATAATTTACATACACTTAAGCAGTAGCTAACTCTCCAGGAGCAAAATTGCACCAACTCATCTTGAAGAAAATTTTTTTTTCCAAATCACAGGTGTACTGGCATACAGAGTAATACCACAAACATAACACAGAAAAGTACTCACTCCTCATCCACATTATGCAGCACAATATGAAATTTATTTCTTTTTTACCCCCAAATAAAACATACAAACACTGTAAAAACAAATCAGAATTTACCAGGTTTATCCTTTATTCTCTTCCATTTCTTAAAAGCATCTTTCTTCTATTTATTCTACTACTTTTGGATACTTTCAGTTTTTCCATTTAGCAAACCAGCCTAATGTCACCAAGCCTGTAGCTGCTCCATCAGTGGCATCAAATGGTAAAGCACCTTCACAAAAAGCTGCACTAAGATATGAGACAGGGTCAATACTTAATAAGGATGAAATGAGTAAATTTTAGTATCTAATAATTCTATTATTCACTGTAGGAAAATCAGGGACATGAGAGAACACAAAATGAAGGAGAATTTTAGCAGAATTGTTGCCTTTGTCGATTTTACAGGGATGGACAGATGAGAATACACTTAGGATATAAGAAAAGAACAGCAAAGAAAACTAGATCTAAAATTAGGTGCTGAAAAACACTCTGTTACAGACAGAAGTAATATAAGCCATAAAAGAGCCCTACAATATTTAAAAAGGAAAGAGCACTATCAGAGAAGACCAAGGTAACTAACAAAATATATAGGAAATAGAAACCTGTGACAGGCATTTTTAGGAAGATGATTAAGCCAGTAAATTTAAAAATTTTAGAATAATTGAAAAAAGACATCTGAGAACCCAATAAAGGCATATCCTGGCTGACCACTACTGTAAAGGATGGTAGAAAGTTAAAGAAATTTATGTTACACTTGAAATGAACAACCTAATGAGATCAATAAGGCTTGTAATAATATTTGTAAATAAAAAGGGAGAGTTTTTTAGTAAAAATTTCAAAACGCAAGTAAAACTTCTCTCCACTTCTCAACCTGAGTGGTGAACCCACAAATATCCACTTGATCTGTGTAGATGCAGGTCACTTGGACAGCAGGCCTGTTGAACAGTACTGAGGTACAGTTCAGGACTAAGGAAAAGGCAACTGGACAAGGAGTATCAACTGCAAGACAGGAGATGAACCACAAAGAAATGTGGAGTACCAAGGTGAGGAAATCTGAAGTGCCTATGTGATACAGAATTTCATGACCTTAGGGAAGAGAACACTTTTCAACTACTATCCAAATAACAAATACCATATCCATAGCAAAAGAAATAACTGGATTATCACAGTAATGAGCTTCCATAGACTAAAATGTTTGTAAAGTTAGGGTGTGCTATTAACTACTGACCATGTAAAGGGGCTTTTTGAAGGAGATTAGGCACTGCAATTCAACAAAATTTCAAAGGATCTAGAAAGAAGTCAGCTTGGGAAAAAAGAGTGGACATTTTAAGATTGTTTGTGGCTGCAAGACCTGGAGCTTCGTAATGGAAACACCCTCCCTAAATTCCAAGCAGAGACTAGCCAAGGAAGGATCAAATGCCTTTTGTACAGGAAGCCTGAGGAAAGATCCCAGAAGACATCAGGGTGATGTGAGAAACAGGACATCTCTCTAAAATGACCTCAGCCACCCAAGTCATGCAGCTCCCTATCCAACAAGGACCTGTGAATGGAACTCTTCCAAGCAGAAGCCAGTCAAGAGGGGATTATGGCTACAGTGGGAATTCTCTCATCTTACATAACTGTTGCACTTCACATGAATCAGTCTTTGCCTTTACAATAAAACCCTAGTGAACTAAACTTGCCCTAAAGCTGTTATTGAAAAGAACTATTTTTAGGGTTCAGATCACACTAAAAGTCATGTAGGATTTCTTTGGAGAGGATTTTTACCTTATATTTAATTATTACTACCCCTGATGCACAAATGCATTAGACAAAATAAAAATCTGAAAGATAGGTCAAGGCATAGAATTCCTGCACCTGAAAGCTGAATTCAGGAAGATGCTCAATCTTTTAATTCTTGGTTAGTCTCTTCACTAAACTGAGCATACATATTTCTCAACTGTGCTTGATTTTGTTTGAATATTTGTGAGTCTTGTGGACATCACACTGTCAGCTTCTCAGCATCAAAAACATCAGAAAAAAGACACAACATAGAAACTGATTGAGGAGTTTCTTATAAAAAAACATGCTTTCAACACAGTTTTTTATCTTGTGCCCTAATTTTCAGGAAGAAAATTCCTAATTTTGGAAGAACAGTCTTCATTGCCTTAAAGTGAAATTGTTACCAAAAGTCTGCAAGTGAAGTGAGAAACTCTAAAGAGAAGAAAAGCATTAGTCCTTCAAAGTTCACAGGAAAACAGAACAACTCTTCTGTTTTATTTACTTTGCCTTTTTGCTGAAAGGAGGGAGAATACTTTAAAAAAAAAAAGAGGTTACCTCATCTTCATTAGTCTACTAACAATTCTATGTTAATATAACACAAAAAATATTTGCAATTTATGCATTCATGAAAATGGTAATTACTGCTTTTTTGAGCATAAATTTATCTAAACTGTTCTGTTTCCTAACCTAGAAAGTCAGGTTCCTAGACCATCACTTTCAAGAACAATGCTATTGAAGCAACCAAACACTTCTTATTTTTTGACCTGTTTTTTCAATTTTACCCACACCTACAAAATCCAGCACTCAAAATGCAACTAAGCAAAGAAGAAAAATCAGAAATGAAAATATATTCTGGAAGACATAACACAAACCTTTAAATATTTGCATAAGGAATTATGTATACAAGCTGTCCCTGGAGGGTATAGGCTGTGAATTCAGAAATTACTTTCAATGTCTTCTACATTCTGTAGGCTATTAGAATTCACATAAACCAGCAGTTTTGCTAGGCTTGAAAACTTCACATGAATGTTGCTTCATTTTTTATGTGTTGTGTGAACAGCAGCAGAGAAAACAGTATTGAATAAACATTAAACAACTGGGAAAGATCATTTATAGACTGTGTGTTTTCAAACAAGGCTTTACTATTTCTCTTTTGAATATGTCATGTTCTTACTTCAGGTTTAAGAGCTAACAACAGGCTTAATCAAAACCTTCAATAATTTAACATTATTAGTGAGAACAAGCTATAAGAAAAATGAATTAAATATACAATTAGATTATGCAAAGAATAAAAATAAACCAAAATTGCAATTCATTTCTCTTTCAGGTGTTCTTAGAATGATCTAAAAATGCTCCACTGTCACCACTCAGCATTTATGGAGTTGGTATGTTTAAAGTGATTACGAAAAATTTTCAACTTCTCAGCAACCTTGTTTCTTAGGAACTAAAACCACTTCTTTTTACCTTTGACTAGTTTGACTATTCAACAACCATAGGTAATAATATTCATTATTAAAAATAAAAATAATCAAGATCAAACTTTACAAAGAATCTGTAAGATCTAACATCAATTGTGGCAGGAGTTTATCTGAATAGACACTGATCAGACTGTCATTTGCCACAAGCATGAGCTGTAACGGAATCCAAATATATAAAATTCACATTGAAAAACTATTTGGAAAGTCCACGATAAAACTGAAATCCATGAATTTCATTCAAATAACTTGTTTATGATTTTCCTCCCCCCTGAATGTACATCACTTTTAGACATAAACTTATTTCTGATGGATATTTTGACATTCACAACATCACTAAAGAGCCAAACTGAACACATGCACAAGTGGTCTTATTCTTTCATGTATTAAATCAGATTGGCAATACACGTATTAAGCTGAAAATCTGAGTATCAAGTTCAGCTCCCTCTCCTCTTTTCCTTAAAGACAAAAAAGAAATTGCTTGATACCTTTAAATGTATGGATGGGAAACATGCATAGAGCAAATTCTAAGGTTTAGAGGATCCAGAAAGTTTAGAATAAAAAGATCTGGGCAGCCATGGAAGACAAAGGAAAAATAAAAAAAAAAATTAAAAAAGTGAAAAAAGTATACAATAACCTAAAGGGCAAAATGTATCTAAAGCTAACAAACAGTTTTAGGGCAAAATTCCACTTCTCAGTAAAGGAAATGTAATGTTCACTCACATTTGAACTCTCTCATATGAGGGTGGAGGCCCATCACTCTTTGTTCTGACCCCCTACACCAAGTCTTTTGAAAGCAGACCTGGTTTACAGTCCAGTATGCTGATCAAAAGGTGGTTCCTCCAAGTGGGCTTGTATCTGTAGGTCAACCTCTGCAAAAACCTGCACTCCTACCATCAGCCCCTCTCTTCTCATCAACTGACTTCATATCTCCTTCCCTGTTTTATCCCTATTTTTGGACCTTCCTTTTTGGCTTCCTGTACCACCATGTCTCATGTAACAAATAAACCACCTGCCAGTTTTTCCATTTTTTCTATATATGTACCTAAATCTAGTGTTTCTTATGTCATTACCTGTCAATCACAGGTAATGTGATGCTACTGATACAGAGTAAATACAGGTATAATTACTTGCCCGGCACAGCAAGGGGCCAGCTGCTCCCCAAGCAATGGAAAAGCTGGAGCCAAGGGGGATGCCTGGGCTGCCAGAGCATGGGCCTTTCTGCCTAAGGCACATCCTAAATGGCAGGGAGAGGCAAGGGCAGATTGGGTGAAGGGGACCCAGCCTCGAGTCCAGATCGCTAAGAGAGTCTGTGATGAGGCAGGTTTGACACCAGACTGGGAAGTCAGGATCAGATCAGGGTTCAGACATTCTGGTGACTGCCAGGCAGGTCAACAGCACCAGGACAGAGCCAATGTCAAGCTGGGAAGAGACTCCACAGTTCAGGACAACAAAGTTCCCAGCCAGGCTGCAGGCACCACTGTCATGGGGCTGCAGACAGACCAACCTCCAGTGTCAGTGGGCCAATGGCCCCAGGATGAGCTGACGTGGGGCTTCAGGGCCCACAGGAGAGAGCTCAGGGTAAGGAATTCCCTTGAGGACCCTCAGGGCTCTCACAGTTACCCAGGCATTGTTTGCCTTTGCAGGTCCCACTCCCCAGATGGTCCCAAAACCATCTGGGTTGCAGTGGATCTGTTATTCTTTGCCTCACGTGCTCCCCAGGACAAATCATCCTATTTAGCCTTGGTATGCATACTTAGGCCCAATTCAGTTTTCTTACCTTATACACAGAGCACCTGCAGACCTCAGCAATGTGGTTTTCACATGCTATTGTGCTCACAGACCATCCTGCTTTCTGTGGTAGCTGCTTGATTAGGGATCATTGACCTTGGAACACTCCTTGGGCAGCATCCCGGTTCCTTTCAAGGATCTTAGCTGATGCCTAGTACTCCATAAGGACCTTCTGGCTCACAAAGTCAAAACAGCTTTCAGAAGGTGACCCGCTGGTTATCTGCCACTTAAAAGTCATAACTGATTTTTGCTTGAATTTTTTCCTTTAATATCTGTATGTGAAAATCACAAAAACAACATTAAGTATTTAAGAACTGAAATACAAGCACTCCAAAAACTCGTGTTAACTCAAATTTTACTTCCGTAAAATGCAAATCACTCTAAAACAAGTACAAAGCATATTAAAAGTCAAAATGCAACATTTGCAACAGATGGAAAATGATCTTTATATATTTTCTCTAAGTAACAGTTCTCTTGCCTTTTTTCAGCCTAATGCATCCTTCAGAACACTGCAGGGCTTTAGAATCTATTAGTATTTCCAGATTTTTCCTCAAGAAAATGAACAGTCTTTCATTAACTGAAAAGACTAAACTACGCATCGAGTCAATGATTAATTATTTGGCAACGACCAATTAATAAGGAATCAGCTCAATGGCATTAATTGACATTGGCAATTCCCCACTTCTGTAACAATGTTAAACATAAATTTAATTAAAAAATAAAATTTGGATACGTTTTCAAATGAATCCTCCGTATTCTCATTAGACCCATCAGTAGATACATCTAATCACACCATACTCTGGTTGCACTGGTGGAATACCAGACCTGCAGAAGAGATTAGAAAAACGTTCAAAGACACACTAGATAATCTTTTTATTTAACAGTGGAAGCATTAACTATTTCTTTCAGATAATATCTATCTAGTCCAGGGGACATGCCTCTGTGTTTCACACTGGTTCATGTAACTAGATTGGAAAGCTGTGCCCTTTGCTCCCTTGTTCAAACTTCTGTTTCAACTAATACAGGGTCACGACGCCTATTAAGCGTATGGGAGATTCTCTCGAGCATCTGAAATTATGCAGTGACCCCCCCATGACATTCAGCTAATCAACACTGCACTTTAATTTCTGTGTAATCTTCATTAATTAAAGAGGTCAGTTTTTCCACTGAAGGACCAAGGTGCAGTTTCTTGTTTCTTCAAGAACAGATTCAACAAGAGAGAACAGTGACAACACAAACTTCCATATGCAAATGATACAAACCCAAAGGACACAACAAAAAAAAATAATAACAAACTTTCCTAGTTTTTAGCTGACAGAGAAAAAACAAGATTTAATCTTACAAAGTATACTTTATTAGTGTTTTATGTGATTAGTATCAAGTTCATGTGTTTTTTTAATTATTTTTTTTATCTTTAGCAGCATCAGTATAGTTAAAACAATAGAAGTCAGGGCAATATCTTCCTGCTTTGTACCTTTCTGTACAAATGACTTGAATAAATGCTATGCATATCCCACCTAAACACACGAGACAAGAAACTGATAAGAAATACCCAAGAAGTAGAAGAAAAGGAAAGACTATGTTTCTGAGGAGTGGTGTTAGAACCGCTTTCTTAAAAACCTTGAAGTTCTATAACTGCCATCCTACCAAAATTTTTCCAGGTGATAACTCACTTCTCTGTGTGGCCTCCTAATATTTTGCCAAGGAAAAATCTCATAAAAAACAGAGACTTAAGAAACCAGGGATTCTGGAAGAAGCAGCTGGAGAAAGCACTGCTTAAAAACCCTTCTGCAGACACTATTACTGAATACTGTGTATGTAATTCCAATCTGTCAAACTCCAAAAGTCCCAAATAAATTTCTCCTGATGGTGCAGTCAAGAAATACTATTCAGTTTGATGCATAACACCACACACAACTCACAGCTGCCACAATGGGTAGAGATTTGCAATGTACTTGTGGGAATGTTAACACCGGAGGAATGTGCAGGTGCTCCCATCATGCAATACATGTTCTGCAGCTCAGTGTATTGAAAACCACTATGTATATAGTTTCTATTTAGAATCATAGAATCATTTAGGTTAGAAATGACCTCTAAGATCATTGAGTCCAACCATTTACCCAGAACTGCAAAGCTTAATGTCTTATTCCAATGATTTCTTGATCACAATCACAGAATGTTTTCAGCCACAGAAAATATTCAACCAGAGAGCTTTGACATATTTCTTAAAAAAAAAAAAAAAAAAAAAAAAAAAGACATCTTTACTTAGAGAGACCTTACTACTAAGCACTTTTTCTTTCACTGCCTTTTCTCATCCTGGCTGTCTGTCATCTTCTCCCCCTCCTATATTTTCTTCTTCCTTTTAAAGCCATTTGGTTTTCCTGTCCCTCCCTCCTTTCTTCTCTAGCTTTTCGTGGCTTTTGTTATCTTGTTCCCTTGCTCCTTTTATATTTTTTCAAACTGGACTTCTCTTCCAATAGCTGCATTAGAATGTGGGAGATACTCTGTGCTCTTCCTACAAGTGAAGCTACAAAACAAAACAAAGCAAAACAAAATCAAGTTGGCTTTTGAAATACTAGAAGTTCTTTTGACTTAGGTCATACCCAATGACTATCAGACACCAGGGCGTGGTATCAGATAAACAAAACTTAAAAAAAGAAGCAATATAATTAATTTACAAATCTGAATAACAGGACATTTTCTCAGTGTTAGGAACACACTGCCTGAGTGTTTACTGGACATTTGGTTAACAATTCTTAGTGCTATTCCTTTACCCCCCCTTAGGACACTGTACTAGGGATGTAGCCAGTTCTGCCTCAGCAATTCTACTTCTCCTTCACAGAATAGTTAGCTAAAAAATTAAAACTCAAGTTATACTTTCAGCCTCTTGTGCCCTGGTACAGGGGAAAATGTGTTCGGTGCAGGGAACTGTCCACATAGTTGAGGAGGTAGACAGAAATATTAATTTGCTACCTAAAAGAGACTTTGTTTTCACTATCAAAACCAAGATTCACATATGGGCTATACAATTTATAATAATACTCCCACCAGAGTCAACATGCTCAAAGCAAAGCAATTGTTTTTCATTACTGTAGATGCAGCTGTGAAATGAGGCCAAGACACAGAGGAAGGGGTGAAAAAAGAGCATCTTCTGAGGATGGTTTCTCAGATTCTCCCTATATTCCTTCAGGATGCTCCTTAACTGCTGTTAGAGAGTGCACAGAGACACCAACATTGTCACACGATCTCGACTCCCCTCATTGTGATTTCAGCCCTTCCAAAGCCTATAAAAATGGAGGGGAGAGAAGAGGACAAGACATTATTATGCCTTTTTCTTCACTGGGACAGTCTGGATAATGAACCTGCTCAAGCACCTGCTATGTGAAACAAGCATGTAAAAACCTTACTTCAAAGAGCTGTGAGGTTTCAGCTGTCTGCTTTTTACTGAGCTTCAACAATCTGATACATTGGTTTATAATTTATTATAGTTTACTATATTTCCATTTCACAATAGTTATTTAGTAGTCTACTGAATACAAACTGACAAGGAGAGATTAGAGAGAGGTTCATTGGTAAACAGGAAAGTACATGCATGAAGATGTTAAAATCAGCATGGACTGCACAATCAAGAGAGACACTTACAGGCTGACTGGCAGGCACAAAGAAGTGAAGCATTTTTCATAATTTCTTATTAGGATACCACTTCAAATCTTGTTAACTGGAAGCTTAGAATGTACAAAGAATAAACCAAACCCAAACTGCAGAGGTACAACCTGGGAAGAGACACATTAAACACTGGTAACCCACAATGACCACACTTCTTTTCATTGAGTCAAAAAGTAGAGGAATCTACTGACTACATGGATTATTTTCCAAAGATTTATCCCTCCAAATTTTCTGGTATTTAAAAAAAAATAAAAAATTGTTTAGAATTAAATAATATAATCAGTGGTTTTGCCTCTTTAATTGTATTTTATGTGTTAATTTATGTGTCTTTTATGTTTAATTGTCTTTTATGTGTCTTTAATTTGGCTCTTTAATTGTCTTTTATGTGTTAGGTAGAACTTCATGTAGTAAGTTGAACTTTGAGTAAACTTCAAAACTGAAGCTGGACATGGAAATTTAAAAGCTCCTTGGAATTCCAAAGCTCTACAATTATGTATTTTGTTTATTCAAACACTACACTATTTTTAATGAACTGAGCAGATTTCAGATTTTAAAGCCAAGATGTAAGTTCCCTGTACCATTGACATTTCATTTGCAGAATTATTGCTATTTATATGCCGATTTTCTATTTTTATGTGTAGCTACTTCTATCTCACATGTTGAAAAATATGCCTAAACAGGTGTATTAATGTGTGGAATCATATTTGATAGGTCAAAAATAACAGAAGTAAAATACAGAAAAAGTCACCACACCTTACACTTCAAGTGAATAGTTCAGGCAAACTGCACCTGTAATTGAACAAGAGAACCTCACAACAACCCAGTCATCCCAAAACTCCAGGCAGCTACAGGCTGTAGATGATCACAGAAGAGCTGCTAGAACAGGGACTCTGAAACCCTGCAGAGTCTGATTCATGTCTCTTCTGTAGCCATTCCCACTAGTCTAAGCTGCAGAGAACATTCCATATGCACTTGACATCATGACATTTCTAAATCCTCTCCTAAATATTTGGGCAATTTCACACAAAGTATCTTCATGAATTGATAACACAGAAAAGCATCTAATTAGGAAAAATGTGTACTCCATAAGCCAAATTGAACTGACCTAGGAGGGCAGAACAAAACTTTGTTCCCAGTAGATTTCATTAAAATAATTTCATCCTTTTTGTGTGCTTTGATCAGCAATATGATAGAAAGTTATTAAATTATCATCAGTCACTGCATACATTTTACAAGCAATGGTAGAGCAGAATCGTAATTACAAAGCAAGCATTTCAGACCATCTGCAAAGTTATGCAGATGGATTTTTTACAGTAATACAGAAAATATACTTATTTATACTTAGCTATTTTTAAGTACTCAAAAAGGAAAGGCACTCCATTAATGCTTACCACCATGAATGCTGACCCAAAAGGATTCATAAATATTAAGTTTTGCTTCTGGCACTTGAACAACCACACTGATTCCAAATATCATGTCCTAATCCACTAGCTCCTCTGTTTCTGATCCTGTAAAATGCTCTGGAGGCTTAACTACCTTTAACATTTCACAGTTGACTTCTTGAAAATTAATGGGAAG